CATCAAGGAGCTATGCTACGGACTGAGCTGCTTTGACAGATGGAGTTCTTGGACAAATGACCATTATCACTTGTTCTTAGCTAATTTGCAAGCAGGTGATACAGGATGACTTATTTCAGGAGAAAAAACATAAAGGGTGTGTTTTTGTGAAAGGAAATAATACAGTCTTTGTAAAACTGCAAGAAATTTTGCATTTAAATCTTTGCAATACAACATGCATGACAACCTTGCTAGTCTTCTGTTTTATTATAATGTGTCAGGCTGACAACTAATCTACAGAGAGTAGACACGTGAAATTGCATAATCTTTCCAGATTCCTAACCATTTCTTACACAAATATGAATCTTCAGTAGTATCAATGAAGTGAATTTGTGATCCAAAGCCAGCTGAAGCCAATTAAAAAAAAAAAAAAAAAACCTGACATCAGTGAGCTTGCTTACTATCCTACTTCTCAATTCACACTAGTGTAATCATGCCCCTATATGGACACTGATCCCTGGAAACATCTGTGTAACAAATGCTATCCTTGATAGCAATTTTACTTTCATCATATTTCTTTTTTCATTTGTCCCATGTAATAAAAGGTCCTAGGTACTATTCCTGAGTGTTTTAAGGAAAAACAGGCCTGGAGAAAATGTCTGCAAATGACTTCTTTGCTTTTGGTGATGATTATAGATAAAAGGATAAGAGAAGCTCCTTGAAGAGTTACATTCTTTAAAGGTATGACATTTCCCTGTACATTTATGCATTATTTGTTTACCTAAATATTTCCTTCTCCCTGTTCTCTGTGTTTTGGAAATAAGAGAAGTTATCAATCACTCAGAACTGTGCTGATGTTTCCATGGCAGTTTTGTAATTAGGTCTGTTCACCAGGGGTTCCCATTAGTCCAATAAAATCATTTGTACAATTCTTTCAGATGAAGTATTACACTGTGTTGCTAGCCTACAAATAAAAGAATTATTCAAGCCTCAGACACTTATTTTCTTATTGGTAAAAACACTCACGGTCTTTATTGTGCTTTTTTAGGTTTCTCAGTCTGATCTATAAATGCAGGCTCTGACCTAACAACATACTCCGGAGCAGAGAACAAGCAGTTAACAATTCCTACTCTAAAACGTGCTAACAACTGGACAGCTTTTGCTCCCAAATGACCGAGGCCATTATTATTTAACTAGGAGACACTTTTCATTAAGAAGGAAGAGAAAAACAGCTCTGTAAAGAGATCACATCGTTTGCATAACTGTGTTGTAAATCAGCATCTAACAATGGTCATTATGCTGAACCAAGATAAGCCAAAGCAGGACCTACATCTGGTAGGAAAGGGATCACTAAGATAAACTCAACCTATTGCAAAGATTCTTCTGCATACTGCCAATGTGCCATCAAATCTGAGATGTGACCCCATGTCTTGATTTGAGATTCATCCAGTTGTGACACACAGAAGAATTTTTTATTGTATTTCTATTCATATGTTCATATCTTCAAGTACTGCTATATGAAACTGCTGGTGCAAAGTTTGCTAGGAAGGGGCTGATATGACTAAGCTGTGGGAGAATCTTCAGATACACATTGGACAGAATGAGTGAGCTTGTTTCCATTTTGGCATCTGATGGGAACTCTGGTGACGCGAAATTTAATGTAAATTTTTGGTACTGAAGAAAATCGTAATGCCTCTGTATAGTACTTATCCAGTGTCCAATTCTTTCTCAATGTACCTTGCTATCTCTCATAAGCATTATTCAAATATTTATAACACAGAAACTTGCAGATTATTTTAGTTTCTCCAGTAACACTGAACAATTAATTCTTGTCATGCAAAGATTTCAATTGCTCTTTACTGAAGATATTTAAGTATTGTTGGCAGACAATTCTTCATTTTACCATAAATTTCTGCCATAAATATGGTACATAGAAATATGTTTTCCTCAATGGTCTGAATGTATTATGTGTTGTTTTCTGCAGCAGTATAAATGTAGTTCATTATATTAATAACTCCAAACAGATATGCCGAGACATAATGAAGTGGTATGTATATGCTGAGTTCAAAATGGCAAAAGAATGGAAATCACTGGCAATGTTTCACTAAAAGTCACAAGTATCAGAAACTTGTTGAAAGTTAAAGGTTTTCAGTCTTCTGATAAAAAACACATGACTTTTTAGAAGTCAAGTGGCATTCAGAAAGGTGTACTATTTTGGCTAAAACACCTCTGTTTGCCTGTGATACTTTCACCTCTTGTTCTTTATTTCTTTCCAGGTTTCAGTCCACAAAACAGTCCTGTTTCCTGTTTCTGGAGCGGGAAAATGGAACAAATTTCGAGGAAATTGAAAATATTCATTTTACAGCAGCTTTATTCTGAAAAAATCAAGTTTCAGTCTAGTTGGTCTTCTCATCTTGTGATCTTCTCTTTTATTAAAGAGAGGGAAAAAGAAGATAGACAAACACTATTTTACATCTTGTATCAGAAAAGTAATTGTATATCAAGGCTGACTGTACAAAGTGGTATGTCAAATGGTAGTATTTGGACAATGAGGACTGTTCCCATTAGCTTTAGCTTTGTTCTATGGACAACATGACATCTTTCTTGCACTGATGCTGTTGTCACAGTGAAGCTTTTGTTCATGCAGTACTGAAGATATAGTTTTTGGATTGTGGCTTTTTTGGTGATTGAGATTGACTTTTAATAGAAAGTACTAATGATTGCTTCAGTGCTAGCTAGCTAACCATATGCAGAAGTCCTCAGAAGTAGAACTGTAAAGTCCTAAATAGAGGGACAACAGTGCGAAATCTTGGCTGTGCAAGACACCAGCAAGGTAAGAAGCAAACTCCTAAAACAGTCTAGGAGTTGCATTTAATGCAGTAATGCTATGGATATTTAAAGCATCTCTATACAATTTCTAAACAAAATACCAATGTGGATAATGAAACTGTGGAAAAAAGCAGCCCTTCTGCTGAAAATTAGGCAAAAAATGAATAAGAAAAGAAGAAGTGATACTGCTCGCCTTTCACTGAATGGCTCCAAATTAAAAAAGAAATGGAACTTATTTGAATATTTTATTACCTTTGAACAGGCAATTCAAGAGTATAACTAGATCTTTTCTGAAAATTATTGTAATCCACCCTTTCTTCTGTCAAGCAGTTTTTGTTTTTCCTTTCTAACAATTAATATGATCTCTTCTAAGAAAAAATGTATATAAGGGAAAATATGATGAAGAACGTTGGGAAGAAATCTGAGCTGTGACTGTGCTCAGAGATAACCAATGCCAACTAGAATAAAAATATGGTCATCATTTTTAATTTATTTTTTTTTTAATTCAGAGGAAAAAGATGTTCAACCCATATCATTGCCATGGAGACCTTGAACTCCTGAATACCCTGTTGTTGAACCTTTAGAGGTGTAAACGGGACATGCAGAGCACACAGCTCTTATTAAGTTCAGAATATGCATAAATATAAAAATGAGGAATCATCTACCTACATGCAGCCTGTAATTTTCTTCAGATTAATTTTTTAATATTACTTCTAATTTTAGTCTTTTTGTTAGCATATGTTAATTTGCTATGAACTAAAAGGCATGGATTGCCCATTTAAAGCACCTTGAATTTTCAAATGTGTACCCAAAAGATGGCATAATGAACAGTTATCTTGTTTAAAAACAGCTTACTTTTTCCATGTCTTACTTTTTTTTTGTTTGTTTGTTTGCTTTAATATACCATTCAGTGTGGTTATTTTTTCCTACAGTCCATTTGAGAGCCACATGTTCACCAGCTCATTGCCTTAGTAGCATTTCAATCCAATCTAAAAGATTTTTCCCAAAGAAAAACCAATAGCATAGTTCTACCAGTGAAGTACATACATATATATATACGTTATCTCTCTCTATGTATTATATATATATACGTTTATCTCTCTCTATGTATTTCATTTCTCATCATATTATTTTTCAATGTAGTTAGATGAAATGAAAATTATATCCTTAAGCAAACAATGGGGGATTCTGCTATCATAACCTTTAGGGTCAACCATCTCATTAGCAGTCAACTTTTACAACTGGATGTTGTTTATAGGACAGGAATTTACAAGCTGTTAAACTAAACAACAAATTAAATTGTCCACGAGCCATCATCATCTGATACAGAAACTCCTCCTGGGTAACAAGCTGCTGCTTTTTCAATGGGAAGTTTTGGAAGGATTTAATACATTTTATTTTTTGCCAGTCTTACCTTTATAGTGAACAGTCCCTTTTTTATTATGACAAAAAACTGTGCCATCAGTGCAAACAGCTCCAGATGCACAGTGAAAATTCAGCAGTCACAATCCACAAGCCTCATTTTAATGAATGCTCACAGGCATCTCTTTCTTCTGCTAATTGTTTTCAATAAAATTTAAAATACCACAAATAGAAAGTAACTCAGTAGTGCATTTACAGTCTTCATTAACTAATAGTTTTTGTTAAATATATTTAAGAAACAACAATCTGAAAAGATACCTTTAGGAAAGGATTTCATCTTTGCATTTTGAAAACAGTAGTATTGTTTGAAATAATAACCTGTCAGCCCAAGCAAGATGTTGAGAAAATAAATAAATACATTGTGACATCATATGTGCTATGTTCTTAAAAGTACATAGACCAGATTCCTAACATGCCTAATGATGCTATTTTGCAGTGACTTAAGTGTACAAGAACTTCAGCTACCATCACAGGGACTGTTTATTTTACACACTTTGATGTAATATTTCTGCCATAATTTTTTCAGATACTTCATTTATAAGTACTAACCTTCTCATGCAAATTCTATTGTTTCTGTTTCATTCAAATTATGTACTACATTGATAATTCTAAGTCATTTCTCCACTGTGTTTCAGCTCCCCTCACTTTTCTGCTTTTAACTTCTCACTATTGTCTTTATGAAAGAAACAGTCCAATCCTAATATTTTATTTTTCCTTTAGAAACATTTGCATCATAATGACTCCAAATAAAATCATCTTTTGTTACTCACTGTTCTTTGTGCTCGTTCTGACCGCTTTATATTGCATATGTGTAGGCAGAGAAATAGAAGGCTGCCTTTGTGAATTCCAAGTTCCTTATAGTCAGATGTTCCTGGAAAAGATAGCCAGTCAGGTGCTTACTCAAGACAAACAAAAAAACCCACAGACTTTTCCAGTTTTAATATTTTATCTGTATTGTTAGACACTTAAGGAGGAAGAAATCAACAACAAAAAAACCCAACCAACTTTAAGTGAAGTGAAAAAATGTTCAGTGACTTTTCATAGGAACTAAATGTAATTGATGAAATCTTTTATAAATAATCTGTGTCATACTCTAAACAAGTCAGCAAACCTCAGAGACCTTAACTCATATGGGACCTTAATCAATTTCAATCAATTAATTAATTTTACACCTCTAATGAAAGTTGGTAATTTTTTGAGAAGTCTGGTGATCCTGTAACATGGAACATTACAAACATCCAGTCTACGTGCTAAGCTTATGCTTAAATTCATGACAGGTGCACCAAAAATATCTTGCAGGACACAAAATGTCCCAAAAAATATTCTAATTCATCATGTAGTATGAATATATACTCACTAATTTTCAGGGAGAACTTTATGTCTAGTGAAGGTACTGGTTCTGCAAGGCTGTGACAGAGTTCAAAAGGAGGAAAGAAAGCCAACAGCTTTGATAAAAGTCTTGGATTCCTTAGATTGTACCATCCTAAATATTTTCACACAGATTTGTCTGCCTGCACAATATATGCACTCAATGTGAAAGAAGAAAAAGGGAGAAATAATAGAAACTTCTGTAGATCTTGTGTAAGGCACCAGCTGTTTGTTTTTTCTGGGGGGGTTTGCTTGGTTGGTTTTGTTAAGTAAGCAAGATACATTGCTTTGCCATGAGTTGCAGCACGCAAAATCAAGTTCTGACAGGAAATTGTTGCTCCAGCATTACTGGAAAAAAATGTAATTCTTCACAACTTCAACTTGATAGAAGGGCCTTACAGGATTATATAGGATGAAACAGATAAGCACTTTGGTAGCTGTAGTGGACTGTCAAACAAACAAACAAACAAACAAAAACAACTAAAAAAACTTCTAATGTTCTCAGTGACTTGAAGATCTGGCTGCAGTGACTGTTTGACAGTCACCAGAATGGATATTGCTGAGTTTTAATTCCAATTTGATAACCAGTATTTCCTCTTTAAAATGTTATATTGATTAAGGATTTGTCTAATATAGTGTTTTGACTTCAAATTCTGTTTGACAGTAAGTATAAAGCCACTCTGTATACATCCCACAGCACTATCTAGGGTGAAAACTTTCAATCGCAGGTTAAAACTTATGCAATGCCATTTTCTGGATCATTCCAGCTTTAGCTCATGCTTCCTACAGTACCAATTCGTTAACAGAAAAGATAAATGCTTGTCTCTATCTGCAACTTAGCTTACAGATAAGTCACATGAATGAAGACAGAAGACTTTTTATCCCCCATTTAAATCAGTATTCCAAAAATAAAACCATAGTCAAAGACGTTTCACAAAGTAGATTATATGAATTGATATGTCATCAAAGAGTCATTGGTTTGTGATCTGTGGGGTCTTACTGCTGTGCTTCCATGTCAAAGTAAATCTATGTACAGACTAGCAAGAAGTCAAGGAGGATATGAAGTTTTCATAGTAAGAAGGATATGGTCTATACCTCTCTGACGCCTCCTAACATTAACACAGTCTACACAGTACAAGTTAGAATGTTCCTAATCGTGTTCAGGACAGTCTCTCAAGTAATGGATAGGCTCAAATATTGTTATAAAAGGGAAAACTTGGGAACAACTCAGGGCCTCTAGTATTTACAGCAGCAAAGAGAATCACCATTTTGCCAGTGGTTGAACACTATCTGTGGATGGCTTCATTTTAGCAGAAAGTTTTAAAAAAGACCTGTGTTCTGTACTGTGGGGTATAATTCTGGTTAGCTCTCAGATGAATTAAATGAAACAGGCTGTTGGTTAAAATTCTCTTCGTTGTTTCCATTATATGTCAGAAGAGCATTTTTTAAACCCTGCAGTGAGAGTCCACGTTAAAGAAGGCACTATATTTAATGACATTTTTGAAAGGTTGGAAACCAACTCAGGAGAAACCAGCAAAATATGAATCACTCCTTTAAACCAGTGAAAAGGTTTTGAAACTATTTCCTCTCCATTCTTTTGTACACAGTACTAAGCTCCAGAAATTAAATTGTCTAAAGGAAAGACTTCTGCTAGATACTAGGCATAAGGTACTGCCAACAATGCTTGGTCCCAGGTGATTAATTCATGTCACTCACAGTCACTGAATGACAGCTAGTTTTTACTTCTGTTATGACTGCAGAGCCAATGGTATTATGAGTTGGTATATATTTTGTTGCATGCGTCATCAGCAGAATTGCAGCTGGGTCTCACTTTTATTAGAAAGATGATGTATGAAGCAGAAGGAACACAGCTTGACTTTCAGAGCCCAGACTGAGTTTGCTGCTCTAGCAGTTGGAGAAGTGGGAGAAAGGCTTTTGACATGCAAATGTTGTATCATTTTTGTACAAAAACAAATGATGGATGATAAATACCATATCTCATTATATATACTTTACACTTTGCAGACAGAACCACACTTTGATATGCAGAACCAAGAGAAAAGGAGTCAAAGGGGGGGCTATGATAGGGACATAACTGTCTACAAATAATTGAGCAGCAAGAATCCCTGTTGTGTTATTGGTAGAGGCTGAAAATGGCATAATAAGGAGCAATAGCATGAAATTACTGCATAAAAGGAAATATTTAAATCAGACATTAGGAAAAAAAGTGCTTAACAATGAGAAAAATTGAGCATTAGAAGTACATATTTGCAGAGATACTTAAAACATCACTGTGAAGTGTTCCCAACTTTGATTTCACCTGACAGGTAGTTATAAAAGTGGCAGTTTCATTACTCATTTGATCTGTTTATTTGGTCACAATTATTGATCTTAAGTGAGAAAAAAATTGTTTCTATGTCATGCTGTTCTTCTATGGGCACTGGCTAGTAACAAAGTGAGAAGAATAAGGTGAGGTGTACTGAAGTTCAGTTATAATCAAGGTAATTGGTGCTCTTTGAAGGAAGATGACAGTATCTTTTGGGCTCCTGAAAGATGTTGATTTCAGTACTAATGTTGAAGTGACAGAAGCTTGTCACACTACTTAAAATGCAAATTTAAAGGTATGGTTATTCTAAGCAGAAGAGTAACCTTAAAGAGTACAATAGTCATACTGAGACTTGTATAAGAACATAAGAGAATCGAGGTCTATTGGGAGAAATAATAGCTTTAATTAAACTGCTGAGTCTCTTATTATAATGTAGCATTTTAGTAGCTTTTAGGTCTCAGCCTTCTTTCACAGGTCAAAATAAAAAATGGAATCACTTCCAAAGTTTGGAGAAGTATGTAAGAGAAGAAAAAAATGTAAAAGTTAACGGTAGTTCATCTCTGTAAGGTGAAACAATGTCTTTATTAAGATAGAGTTTTCTGTGTAATGAACTGTGATAGAGAGAAATTTTTATGAAAGTATCCTGAGGACAGGAGAACAGCTTAGTTGTATTGCTAAGATTTTATATAAGTAAGTAGAGGACATTTGCTTCTGGTTTCAGAGTTCTGTTTTTAAGTCTTTGACTACTGTAGAAACTGTTTATTTCACATTTTGGGAGTGTAAGGGCAAATTAAGGATATACTGCATATTCTTCTAATGTTGGCCATAGCAGAGAAGGCATCCTCAATGATTTCTCCTGGGAAATGTGGTTTTCCAAATGGAAACAAGTCCTTATACCAAGTGAATTTTGCAAAGATCTTCACATAAGTTGTAGAAAGTGTGGTAGCAGAAGGGAAACAATTTCATTTCCTAGGTATTTGCTAGAAATAGTATTCTTGTATGAAGTGGGAAGATATCTCTTAGAATTGGGCAAGTCAGTCCTCTGCTTATTAGTGAGGCTAAAGTATCATCATGTTGAAATTTCCCAGAAAGAATTCTCTAATTTTTTCTTTGTTTCTTGTTTTTATTTAATTCTTTTGTAAGGAAGCTTCCTGCATATTTTTTTGAAAATGCAGAGTATTTTAGAATTTGGAGTCTGCTGAGTCTCCTCTCTATCTCTAATTTGTGCTAGATTCTATTATGAACAGTCAATACTTGAAGCTTACTTAGGAACCACAAGAAATCCATTATATGTGATAGGTTACAACCTTTAACGTTGTAGTATATTGTATGTGTTTAGCTTAGACTTTTATAATTTAGCTTAGTTTATTTTAGGTCAGATCAATACCACCTACTGAATTTTGTGCTGTTTCCAAGACACTGACTACCACTGTAGCTAAGAGTAGGGCCATCCAATTACAATGCAGGAGGGCTGTTCCGAAAGTAATGCTCCTATTTTAGAATGTTGGTCCATGGCATCAGAGGCAATATTGGAGATAGGGCAGTAGAAGTTGAACCTCCCCACAAACATTCCTTTAAGCTTTGTTGCTATGTGACAAGTAGCAGTAGAGAGATGGTCCAACAAAATGGCATCTGACGTGAAAGTATGGATTAAGCAAAGGTGTGGAATTCAGTCCTCCATGCAGAAAAAAATTGTATGCATTGACATTCATCAATGCTTGATGAACGGTTTTTGAGGCCAAGCAGCAGACATTAGCACACTGAGGTGGTGGGTGGTGCATTTCAGCAGCTGTTATTGCAACTTGATGAGTCTTTACAGACTGTATTACTCTCCAGATGAGGAATCTAGCTGACAGTATGGAAAACTCAGGCTGTGTTCTGAGATTCACACAGGTGGATTTTCTTTTGCCATCTCAAGCATTATTATTAGTAATAAAGAGACAGTTTGCTGAATTAGGCCCCTGTTGTCTCCTCTGTAACCTACTATACAACTATAACTGATTGGAACCTAGCAGACTATTTCAACGAGGTACTGGCAGTAACACCTTTAAGTCAACTCTAAATTATTTTGGCTCCTCAGGAGTAACAGGAATAAATTTTTGTCACTAACTAGATTTGACTGGATACATACATAGATCAGAGTTACAGAGAAAGAAGGTGCCATTTAATCTTGTCACTTTCCAGAGCAGAGCAATACTTTAAATAAGACCTGACAGAACGCTGCTCTTTCTGGTGTCTGAATGGACAACTTGATACATTACTGTGTAACATCACCATTTGTTTGCAGTTCCTCAGCCAACTTCCAGTCCAGCTGGCTTGCATCCAAGCCATTTTGAATTGCTTTTGAAAGATTGTGTAAGACACTCTGTCCAATGGTTTATTACCATAGAGATTTTCAGACAGATCATCCTTTTAGAAGCTTAGAAGCTTGCTTTTTTTTTTTTTTTTTTTTTAATCTATATTTCTATATGAGCCAGCAGCCCTGAAACCAATTTAAACAACCTTCGGAGGACATCACTCAAAATATACTCTTTTGGTAGACATGCTGCAGCCCATCCCCTTTTCATGTTTGTTGTCTTCTCCCTCTCTTCCATGTTCTGGAAATATTAGTTTACTTATTTGTTAAAGTACCCTTCAAAAGCAAAATTAAAATTAATGGAGACAAATATATATGTTGCTGAAAACTTTTTATCTTCCTAAACTCACCCCGTTTCTGGATGGCAGAATGACATGGTGTGTAGGCTTCTGGGGTTAAGGCCTCAATTCAGCTTCTTTGCAAGGAGCTCTTTGCCAAGACTTTTGTCCTTGTGCCCTGGTCTTCTCCCTAAAATAAGAATTAAAAAACCTGACATTTGAGATCTGTGATAAAAAGAATGCATTGAAATTATAATAATTTTTTTTCCAGTTTATAACCTCTGATTTTTTTTCTGTTACTTTATTTTTATTTTTTAGAAGAAAGTAGTACTGAAGTTTTGTGTTTGTTTATTTCTTTTTGGGACACCCAGAGACATTCTCCCTCTACATGACACACTGAAAGGTACCTGGAAACACTATTCTTTTGAGGCTACTCATTCTGAAGAGTTGAATTAATGTGAATAAAAATAATAATACAATAAAAGGTCTTGTTTTCATATAAGAAAGCATCTTCATTCCTTTTTCTGGTAAAGATGATAAGAAAGGCCGCTGGTGCAAATGGAGCAAATTTTGGTGTTTTTTAATGCTTCAGTGGGTAACTTTTCAGTAAGATGACAATGTTTCTTGCATTGCTGAGAAAGGAAATAATAGATTCGATAATTTTTAGCTCTCCATCTAAAAATGTAATGTCATAACTCTTCCATTTCCATGTTTTCTGCTTCCCGTTATTTCTAAAAGAATGAGTCAGAGAAATGGAAACATAGCTGCTGTGAATAATTTAAAAGTGGTCTGAGAATAGCTAACCATTACTTCTGGTGATGCTGCTTGTGATGGTTACACAATGATAAGATTATCAAAAGAATTGTGGGAGACAGAAAAATGGAAGAGCTGCATTAAGTCATGCAGTCATTTTTGCTATTGTATGATTACACCTTACATTAGTTTTACTAATGGCTTGTCTGGCTACCTCTGAAAAGTCGGAGAAAATGGATTTCCAGTATTTTACCAAAACTATCTCTATAACTTCTGCATCCAGTGAAAGATTCTTTTAAAAAAATTCATCATACTACTTCTAAAGTCTGCTGCTACCAAAGACACTCCAGGTCAACAGAGACAATGATCACTCCCATTCCCCTTCATACAAGCAATGAAGAAACATATTTCATATTTGTTCCACTACAAAAATGCATGACAATACCCATGTTGTGGAATCCATGGGAAGGATTCCACAACATTTCATAAAAATTAGTGAACTTAATACATTTCCTGATATTTTTTTCTATCATCTACTATGTCTTTGCTCTTTCAGACCATCACAAGTGAGTGGAATGCACAGCCCAGAGTTTAGAGTTTTTGTCCAGCCAAACTATTTCTGTTTTTCTCTGAAAATAGGATGAAACCATGCTCATCCTAAATATTCTCTCACTAGCAAACGGATAGGATAAATTTACTTTTCTGCATCTTCAGTAATCCTCAACATATTGCGTAGTCCTGATTCTGCACATGATTGATACTGAGGTTAAGAATATAACTTGTTTCTTCATACTTGCTTTAGAAGGCTAATACCATAAAAAGCAACCAATTTATTCTAATTTTTTTTCTGATTTCACTGTTAGGTGAAAAGAAATTTTGGCTTTGCCATGAACTAGAATGTGCTGAGGAACTGTAAGATCAAATTTGAGCGAGGTGGGAGTATACCATTTTCCAGACTGCAAATTCAGAACTTAACTGCCATTTCAAAACCAAGATCTTCTGTTTGCTTTTCTTCTGTTAACACTGTTTTCATAAAAGATTTTAATCCTTAACTCAGACAGAGAAAAGGTCTGGAATTATAGATATAACTGGCTCAGGGATACATGAAAGCAGTGGATAATTTTTTCTCTGTTGCCTGCCAAAACAGAACAGTGGATATTTCCCATTTGGCATTACTTTAATTAGCTGATTCCATTGTAACTACACAATTACCTATCTATTAGTATTGCTTAAGCTCTGTTAATTTTCTGAAAAAGTCTACCTGTGAAACAGAGCCCCTTCTTACAGCTCTACAGTGAGCCATTTTCTGGCTCAGAACCAGGCAACCACCGGCACATAAATATGAAATGATAGAGAAAACTGAGTTCCAAGAAGCTGTATGATTGCAGAATTGTGGAAATCAGATTTCATATTTGCCTGACAGCTGGCTTAACTGGGAGAAGCTGACCACCGCTGGTCTTCTGAGAACTGAGCGGACACCAGGAAGCAGCCTGATCATCTCCTCATTCTTGAAAAGCACAGTGCCTCATCAAGCCCTCCATTAGAAAAAATCTCTCTCGCACCTGTGTGTTTGACAAAAATCATATGTCCTGTTTGAGATTTGAAACTTCTCTAGTTTCATGTTACATAAATTCCAAGTTTCCAGCCAAAGCTGTACCTTATTTTTAACCAATGGTGTTGCATTTCCAGCAAAAAAGAAGGAGTTGGGCAGCTGCTCTGCTGCTTCCCCTCTGCAGTCTATTGAGCTTATGTCTAATAAGCATATATGAAACTGAGACCAACGCCTTGGAAATCCTTCTAAGCTTCACCTGAAGGCCAAGCAGTTATATTCCTCTCAAATTGTCTGTGCTTTAAGCCTAACAACTGCAGATTTTTCTTTAGTTTCTCTATTTATCCTTCTACCAAACTTTTCGCTCTCAAAGATTCAAGCAACAGTTTTGTCTTTAAGGGAACTGGTCATTTGTCATTGTTCTCAGCTCCTTCTACAGGATAAAATCAGTTTCAAGGGAAAAAAACAAAACAAACAACAAAAAACAAAACAAACAACAAAAAACAGACAGCCACCTATCATTAAAGCTTTCTGATGTTGTTCTCTGTCAGAAACAATTTCAATTTTGTTCTGACTTTGGTAAATTTCACTTATGGAATTTAATAGGTTAGAAGTTTGGATGTTTCTCTGAATGTGGAGAGAAGAGCAGGAGGTGAGGCGGGACAAAAGGCTTGTCAGGCAGCTACTGAAGCAGTTTCTGCTTCAGCATGTGCTGAAGGACACAGGACAATCTTTTTCTTTGAACGTACAGGCAGTCTTACACATGTTTACTTAGTTCTTTCTCCTTTCTTATCTAAAGGATATCAATGGATGAATCTCAGTATTTCCATGAATTTTCCCAACTTAAAAACTGTCTCCAAAACACCACAGAGATGAGCCAAGGGAGGAAAAGCAAAACTGATTCATGTCAGCTGCACTCAGCATCTGCACAGCTTTCCCAGGCAATGAGATGATTGGCTGACAGAAAGTTGCTAAACAATCATTCCATGCTTTGTTTTGCTTTGCTTTGCTTGCAGATGCATCACCAGGTAGCTTACATCCCAAGCATCCTCCTGCAACACTTACATGCCAGCATAATTTTCCACTGGCTGCCACACCTTCAGAGATTATTGAGAGGAGACAGCAGTCCTCAGCCTCTCACTAACGGCTGGACAGGATTAGCCCGTGCTGAGGGGAGTTTGAATGCACCAATCAGAAAAAATCACTTCCCCCAGCCCGAAAGGGATTGGCTGAACACAGTGGGCACCACTAGAATATGAGAAGCTCTAAATCAAAGTCTGCCTAGCAACCCAGAACGTTCTAGAAGCATTAATGGTTGATGGGCAGCAGGTGCTGGTTCTGCCTGCTGTGCTGCAGCTGGGTGCTGTGGGTGCCTGCAGCGTTTAGCCCCTTGCACTTCCAGTCGTGGTGCAATTGTGCTGTTTCATTTGCCTTCTTTTTCTCATCCTTGTGAGTTCTGTGTGTTTCTTGGTAAATGTGGTGGCTTACGCCTTTGGGAAACTGGTGCTGTGAGGAGATGGCTGCTGTGTAGCTTGCCTGAAGAAAAGGTGGGAATTGCTGCTGTGGGTTATTTGGTGTTGGTGGTGGTCAACTTTTCTAAAAACAATTGCACAGTGCTGGCAATCTCCGGTCCATGCTGTGCAAGCAGCTCACCTATGTTGAGGTGGTCTCTGTCCGGAAAATAATTTTGTATTTAAAATTCTGCCCAGGCTGTGATTTTCATAGCTGATTTCACTAGACATGCAGCCTGTGGTCCTCTTTTGATATTTATGAGGTCAAAGTTTTACCACTTTCAATGACTCATTTTCTGTGCTGCACTGTTGATTTAATTTAAAGCTGAGCAAACAGATGAAACCATAGATTGAGGGGTCACAGCAAAAAGGTAAATCGATAGCTTCCATATTCAAATAGGCTTTGGTAACTCCCCGCAGCCTGTTTTCTATTCCTTTTTGTTTCATTCCCTCCTCTAAAATATAACAGGCTGTTTCTTATTTTGGTAATAATTCGCTAAATTTAAGGGATGTTGAATTCAGCCAAAAACCATCTTGCAGTGCAGATCATTCACTAATGGAGAAAAAGGACTCCAGTCTGTTCATAAAAGTAGCCTATCAGCTTCACTGGGGATTTTAATTTAAATAATCACTGAGAGGTGGGACTGAGAGATTTGGATTTTTGCCTGTTAATGAAAATTTAAAGAGTAATTACACTATTAATACACATCAAATCCTTTTTTTTCATTTTGAAACACTTTCAAATGCAGTGTAAAATACTGGTACTTTTGCTCAAGGGGGCAGGGAGGAATATTTTTGTTTCATATCCATGGCAACTCTTATTTTTATTAGTCTTTAAAAAGAATTTTCTACTCTTAGACCTCTGTTTAAAAAAGTTAATCATAGACTCTTTGTTTTCTATTAAAATATATTTTCTGTTTATTAAAACGTTGATTAGCTCTTCCTTTTTAAAAGAGTATAAATATAAAAATGATTATAAAAAACAGAATTCTTTAAAGAAGAATTTTTCTCACTTCAGTTCAACAGCCTTAAATATTTCAATACGGGGTAACTCCCAGTATATTTATTTTTTATGTTAAGGAGCTGAGGCCTCTCCCTTTTAAGAGAATCAGAATTTTGGGTTCATCTTTAACATCTGATAAAATTCCTTCCTTTTTCCCTGGAGATACGTGTCCCATATATTAATTACTCTATACCTTCTTCATATTTAATAGGTGAAATTTATGTTGTGGCTCAGACTTACCATTTATTGTAGGGAAGGAAAGGATCACTTCAATAGAGCTTTTTAGGTTTTTTGTTTGTTTTGTTTTAATGAATTATTATTCTGTATTAGAAAATAAGTAGACCAAAATTTGTGTTATGTAAAAGTACTGAAGCAAGGTTCATTTTCTTATAGGCTCAAGAACGTGAAATGTTGAATTGATTTTAGTAATGCTTTTTGAGTGAAATTAGGTTTTTAGTAAACTTATAAGAGTAGAAGGAATCAACATTAGTTACAGTTTATAGTATCAGTGGGAATCTGTGGCAATGATTCTGATGTGAACTGAAAATAACTTATGGCTTCATCAGTGTATGCACTTCAGCAGCATCCTCAAGTTAAGCTGCTCTGAGCTTGCAGGTTTTACTAGTAAGCTGTACTTGGATTAGCCTCAAAGTTTAATTTTCATCAGCCTTGCCACATTTTTCATTAGAAGTGAATCTAAATACTCTTTCACTGTGGAAAAATGCAAATGACGTTAACTTAGGACCTGTGTCATGGTAAACGACTATTCTGAAGACTGGCCTTTCATATGCTATACCCTTTCTTCCTGTAAGAAAGGGATAAATTGGGAATTAATAGATGAAGCAGAATGTGTACATTGAGAAAAGGGGGGGGAAAAAAAGCTACAAAACAAAGTTGAGATTTTGTTTAATAGCCTTCTTCCCTTCTATCAGAAAGGGAATAGCGGGGATGAGTTTTTAGATGTGAGAGTACTAAGTCTTACATGTGTAGGAATGGCATTCTTTCATATGTTTTCTAATGTTCACAGCTTATATGAATCTAAAAATGAAGCCAAGTAATGTGCTACAAAGCCTTACCACTTGACTAATCTAAATGTTGGAGCTGCATGAACATTTTGTATGCCCTGAAGAATACTTCAGGAAAAAATCTTTTCCTGAGATGAGCAACTCATTCCTTGCCTTTCATTTGTGTTTTTCCATTTCTTTTGTGTGCAATTCTTGTTAGAAGTTATAGGCAAAAGATCAATATTGTATTTTCAGAACTAATTTTTTTAAAAAATATACTGAAAAAGTGAAAGCTTGTGACAGGAATATTTTTCTTTTGCCATGTGTTAGGCTGCATTCATACTCCTGGGAAGATTGTTTGCCAAAGCTCTGAGCATACATTGTGTAAGCAAGAAACTCTGCTGAGAAGTGTGCCACTGGATCCTACCCGTGCAGGCAGAGAGAGCCATCCAGACAAGAGGCAGTGCAAGTGGGCAAAGTTTGCTGTAGCTGAGGAAATTATGGATTTGGCATTGTGAACCCAGGAAGTGGAGAACTGATGGAGGAATGCAGTAGGTAGGGAAATACATCTTCCTTCTGTCTTCTACATCATTGCTTTTAAAACTGTTTGAGTCTCATGCTGCAACTGAGTTTGCAAACTCCTTGGTCTTTGTGGAGTTGATTACAGAAGAAAGCTGACAGCTTGGAGTTTGGATATTTTGCCTTCTTGTCAGCTAAGCTAATCAGTTATAAAGAAATAAACAAACAAACAAAAAAACCTCTTATGTCTATCTCCTGCTAAAAATAGTCAATTAAAAAGATAAAATTCACAGCAGCTTGAAAGTGCTTTTTAACTTAATGTTCTGTTAAATTAAGATACTTGCTAAAATACAAGACCTAAAAGTGGACTTTTAGGTGGACATACTAGGGAACTGTATTCCCTACCATGTTTTTGAAAATAAATCCTTTATTAATTTTAGGTGCCAGTATCTTAACTGGTTAAATAAATATAATTGTGCATTATAATAATCAATATTTTAAAAGACATTTTGTGGTAAATTAAGCCTGTGAAATCAATATTGAATAGGTGTTAAAAAAAAAAAAGCTGTGAAAAGTGAATTAGCTGTTTGTTTTCACCTGAGGGCATTTGGTAGGCCATATTACTTGTTTTCAGATCTAATTGAAAAATGTTTATTTTTCTTATGATACCGTTGTTTTGATGATGGATGCTCTTACTGGATGTTATGCTTGAGAAGTGTTTTCATCATTTCTAGTCAGTAGTAGGTGTGCTGATATGTTTAACTTATATGAACATTTAGTATTTGCTAAGAAATACAGCCCAGTTTGACCTGATGCAGCTTAAAAATTGATTTGAGTACATAAAATTACAAATTCCGTGTTGTGTGAACACATTCTAGAGTTCAAATTCCTAGCAGTGGAAAAAAATATATTGTATACAGGATTGGTATTTTGAATGGCATGTGCTTGTTTTTATCTTTTGTGCCTACCTTTGTAATTGAGAAAGTCAGTGGAGGAAGAGTACCTAACCAAGTGTTGAAGATGATTTATAAGAAAACATTGGTTACTATTGTGTTGTTTTGGAAGTGTTCTAATCTGAGAAACACAGGTTTGATTTGCTTTCTGCACTATGGCTGCTTTTCAGAATTCAAGTCAGGATTCAGTCAAGCACACTAATCTTAGTATATCAGCTGTGAATGAGGTTTCTTTTGAGTTTGCTTAGTAACTCTGTGACTGACACGGTTTGGAAACGTGGGAGGACACTGATGAGGCAATGTGTTATGGCAAGGTGATGCAATAAAAATTTCATCAAACTGAGAAAGATGATGCAATTAAAAAGAGGACCTGAGCCAGTTGCCTATATGAATATATATGTATATATATATTTATAAATATGTATGAATATATATATAGGGAAGTCCTGCTCACCACAAAACAAACAAACAAGTACAAACTGATTCTATGGTGTCTTAAATTTAAGCGGGGCTTGATTGTCTATATAGTATCTGTTGCCACAGTGCAATTTAAAGAAGTTTCTTTTACAATATAAAGCTTGAGCTGTTTCAAAAGCTCTTTTAGTAGTGTGATATATCATGCACCAGTGTTGAATAGTAACTGTGATTTCATTTGAATGTGTTGTGAGGGAAAAAGGTACTATTAAGAATTCAAAAGGAGAAAAAAAACCTTCCAGAACTTCAGGTCATTGCTCTCCTGCTCTTTATTGCTCTTTATCCTGCTCTTCTACACCTTGTGTGTGGGAACCCTTCTTTTTCGTATTCAAAATAAAATCCATTGGTATATAGGAAGTGCAGAAATTTAGGTGATAATGAATTCCAAACATGCTTTTTATTTGTTTAAATTTTCAGTTCATGAGGAAAAAAAAAAAAACTATTTAGGTGGATATGTATTCTCATTTATAAAATGCTGTGGAAAACTGTGCTTTAAAGAATGCATTGCTTTCAAATGATTCCCATAAAATCAATCTACAGTATACTTCTCACAGCAGTGGAGATCTTGCTTACAGAACTTAGAAACACCTTTAAGCAACAGCTACCTCCAGCTCAGGTTTTTTTGCCATTGATTTTTTTGTGGGTCAGGTAAATTAGAAAGGAGTTTGATTCAATTAAGGAACAGCAATCACAACTGTAAAAACTTGAGCAATTTTTTTTTAAATCAACACTGTGCAGTGTTTTTAGAAACTCTTGTCCCCACTAGAACTGTGAAAGAACTCTGTGAGCAACTGGTTTCTTTTGTGTTTTTTTTTTTTCCTTCCATGCCTGTTGTTCAAGGAGCATCTAGAAAGTTCAGTTTTTAGTGTAGTGCGAGTAGTATTTCTGCCACTACATGTAGGAGTCCAGTTCACATCTTCAGTCTGTCCTTGGAGCACAAGTTCTCAAGTGCTTTCTGAATATGTTGCAAAGTGAAGTCCTTGGGACATGGTTGGCTTATCCTAGGGTACAGATTGTGTAGAAAGTCACCTAGTTCAAGTTTGCTACAGATATTACACATGGTGTGTATGCTTATGTTTCTGTTCAGCAGATACTCTGTTACAGAAGTCTGCACCAAGAGGAAGACCTCATTTAAGTTTTCCTGTTTCAAATTGGTTTTCCAACTAAGCCTGATCAGGCTGAAGTAGTTAAGGTGGTGGCAGGAATGTTTTTGTTTTTGTTCTTTTCTTTTAACCTGAGAACAGCAGACTGTAATTTACACAAATTTCAAATGAAGTTTTACAGCAAATCCAGTCATATTAAGTCAAGTTTACATACTACATAATCAGGGGCTGTGTGATCTATACTTTTGTTTTCTAATTAGTTATGCGATTATATTGAAGAGTCAATCATAAATGTTCCTTGCAAATATCTGTATTTGCTGCATGGGGAGAAGAGGGGAGAGAAGAGCTATTTGTTTTCAAAAACTAAAGTTTCTGAAGTGGAAAATATTTTCTTTAGGTCAATTGATTATTGACATCAAATATTACCATTTCTCAGATGATGAGCTGAAACAAATCCTGCTTGATGAGAACAAAGGCTGCTCTATTATAGTGGATGATTAGACTTCCAAACCTAATTATCCCCTTTGGGACTTAGCACAGACCTAATGTAGCTTAGATTATGGAGGCAGGTTCTCCCTTTCAACTTTGTTCAACAGATTTCTGACAAGTCTGTTCTTACAGATGATTGTGCTTCAGCATAATGATTATAGAAATCTCTGTAAAGGAATCACTGGATTTTTTTTATTTCTATTTTTTTTTTTTTTGGTAGTTGGAAGGGAGCAGCTATTATGTTCAACTTTGTGGCTTCTTTTTTCCACATTATTTTTATTCAGATTTTTTTCAAGCACATCCACCCTTACGTTCAATATATGAGAAGTGATTGATGGATTGAGTGTCTACCATCTGTATAACATTTTCATTTGCAAAACAAAATTGTCATCTAAAAGTGCATTTGTGTGATCAATTGAAGTGGTCATTGAGCAGTTTAATTGCCACGTCTAATTATAGCTTGATGTGCTGATGAATGGCATAGGAGTTAAGGTAAACTGGGGAGTCACTTAGGGTTGCATTTGTGTGTAGACAGACTGCATGACATTCAGACAAGAACATGGCTGTTCGGTGTCCCCTTAAGGCTACCAGTGAAGAAATAATAGGTTGTAGGTAGGCCCTGGAGCTTCAGTGATGAAGTCAAGTGATCAGCTTTAGGTGTTTCCAGTAACTGATCCTTACTGCAGATCCTAAAATGTTAAAGCACATTTGATTTTTTCAGAGGAGGATAACAAATTGTGTGTGTGTGTATATACTTTTTAAATTTAAATCCTAAGCTTCACTATGTTATCATTAGTGCTTTTTGCAGACCATACTTAACACAAAATACATTTTAAAATAACTGTAAGTCATATAGTGAAGTACATCCACCCATCTCTTTTAGTTCTTTAATCAGCACTTCTATTACTGCTTTTTTTTTTTGTAATTAAGGTATGAATAGTTACAAACAACAGACAGGGAGAATAGAAAAATTCTTCTACACTTGTAACAGGAACTCAGTTTCAATTAAGTGGTTTTATATTTTGCTGGACCAAAGTTAGAGTGAGTACAGATTAAAAAAACTTTATTCTACAATAATAATTAAAATGTATTTGTTGATTAGTTTGTAATTCACTTTTTATTACTAAAAAAGCTATCTTGAAGACCAAAGAATTGATTATTATTGTTTAAAACATTGACAATTAAAATGATTATAATCATTTTAATAAATGAATTATTATAAGATGATAATTAAAATATTGACTGCCTTACTTTGCTGATTTCCTTGATCCGATTATTGAGGAATTTTAAACAAGCACAAGAATTTCAATAAATCTGCTCATTTTTCTTAAAAAAGTGTATGAAGCAACCCCAGCTATGGCAAGTATTCTGGGAGATAAGAAAATGGAAATTGAGTATTTGCTGATAGAAAATCAAAGGAGAAGGTGGTAGTTTTGATAACATCATAATTATCATCTTGGATATAGAGTTCAAATTTTACTTTAAGGTATTTTAAAGATGAGGATCATTGTATCCTTTTGTGCTATTTTGTGGAGTAGAACACTGACAGGCAACATAGAAAACTTGTATTTTTCATGTATTTGAAACCAAATTATAACATCAGTTCTTTGTGTTTATCCAAACAATCCATAGCTCCAGTACTGGTGGAATTTGGCTGGGTGTATCATAGCAACAGTCCTTTAAGAATCTCCAGTCATCCTCTGTGATTTGGATCCTGCTAGTTACTGAGAACAGGCAAAAAAAAAAAAAGAAAAAAAAGAAAAAAGCACCTTAAAACTTCTGTGGTATTTATTATATGTGGCAGAGAAAGAGGCTGAATTCTGAATACATTTGTAGTGTTTTTTTAATACTGTTTCAACTATTTCTTGAGACTTAAAGAACATGGGAAAGAATGGAGGGGGGTGGGAGGGAAAAATGCCTTGACATCTAAGACATTTCTAGCCTTCCTGTAAACATGGGCTCACCCACTCCTACATTTCAAAAGCAGCATGCAGAATTTCTTTCTTTTGCTTCCACA